CGACTTTGCATGTAACGCCCTGCGTGCGGCAAACATGTGCCAATGTAACGCTTCATGGCCTCACTGCGGCAAGATATATTGCCAGTACGGTACATGTATTTTAATAGGTGTGTGTGTGTGTGTGCGCGCGTGCTTGCATGTGTGTGTGTGTAGCGTGTGATGGATGTCCACGGATTTTCTCATAGCAACGATAGCACACCGGATTTAAATGAAACAGATGAAGACTACAGTCCATTCCCTATAAGTGTGCACTGTTATTACATGCTCCCATCATACGACTAGACTGTGTACAAATACAAGGCAATTTTTTTCTGAGTGAATGCACGCTTGCTTGCTGCTCCTTTTAAAAGAAACCGGATCAAAATCTGTCCAAATTTGAGAGAGAAAATGGAAAATTGATTTTTTTAGCTCGCTTTGCTGCCTGATTTCTGTGCATTTTCTTGCGCCGCTGCTTTGTCTTCGAAGAAGTCGTGAACCTTATTGATCATCTCAACGCATCCACGTGGGGTATTCAGTGCTGCCAAACCGTCCGATTTTTCGGACAGTAGACATCCTTAGCAAAAAACGTTATGTTGTAACGGTATTATCGTAAGGGGGAAAATACCGTGATTTGCTCTCCAACATGAATGGGTCCACACCATAAGTACTGGCGGTTGTGTCCAGGTCCTCGCCGTGGATATTGCCGGTGCGTTTGACCGGGTATCGCACACAGGAGTGCTGTACAAAGCAAAGCAGGCCGGCGTCGACGGACGCCTGCTTGTTTGGCTACAGGACTACCTCACCAACCGAAACATCCGCGTTGTGGTTGGAGGCCAGACGTCAGATGCTCAACCCATCCAGGCTGGTGTCCCCCAAGGCAGCATCCTAGGACCCAGCCTCTTCCTTCTATACACCTGTGACATTGAACAATGTTTAACTCCAGGAACGCAGCTGAGCAGCTTTGCAGACGACACCACACTCTACAGCTTAGTACAGCCAACTGACGATCTCCAACAGTCCACCGCCTCCCTCCAAGGGTCCCTCAACAGTCTTGAGGAGTGGGGCCGCAAGTGGCGTATCTGTTTTGAGCCAGCCAAGACACAGCGCATGACTCTACATCGCAAGCACGTTCCCCCCTGCACTCCACCAGTCACCTTTGGAGGTGAAGCACTCCAGGAGACAGATACCCTGAAGCTGCTGGGAGTCATGCTCGACCCCACTCTCTCCTACAGAGCGCACACTCGCAGTGTTGCACTGCGCGCCTCCCAAAGGCTGGGTTTCCTACGAAAGGCAGCACCCATCCTGGACGACCATGGTCGAGTGACGGTCTACAAGGGATTCGTGCGACCCCTACTTGAATATGCCCCACTGGCCTGGTCGAGCGCAGCCGCAACTAACATGGCCCAGCTGGACAAGGTTCAGCAACGTGCCCTGCATTTCCTGGGACCTGGAACCATCCTCCAAAGTCTTCAGCTTCGTCGGATGGTGGCAGCCCTGTCATACTTGTTCAAGCTGCACTACATTCCAGGGCCTCCCCAGGTAAAGGCCATGCTGCCACCAACCAAGCCCCCTGCCGTAGCTAGCATGTGCACACGGCAAACACGTCAGACGCACCATGCCTTTCAGCTGAAGTGGACACCACCTCGCACAGCCCCTGACTACCTCCTGCGATCCTTCCCCTTCTTCGCCATCACACCCTGGAACAACCTGCCTGCGGACCTCCTGCTTCACGAGCCTCATTCAAGACGCCTCCAAACCTTCAAGGTCAACGTATGTAAGGATCTAATCCGAAAGAGATGGCTGTGGTCCACACAGTACCTGTGACGATGATATTGAGATTTGAGACCCATTTAGTATTTACCTCTCTACTACTACTTGCTTGTTATGATTACTGTCCTCTTTCTTCATTTTCCCTTCTGGTTTAGTCATTACACGTATTAATTTATATTATTTGGTGCAATACTAGCGCCCCTTTCTCGCACCAAATTATTATTTTTGCTACCTGACCATGCACCCCCCCCCCCTTTTTCGATGCCAGGTTGCAACGCTAACGCCGAGACCCCTGGTCGGTCGAGTTGCTCCCTGTACATCGGCACGTCGTCCCTACATCCCCTGTGTCTTGTCTTGTGTTTGTCTCCACATGTCTCTTTGTAGGGCTGTGTTCCCAATAAAAAAAAAAAAAAAAAAAAAAAAAAATTTGGGTTTGACCTTTAGCAAAATGCACGCTATTTTTAGTAAGCTGTTGCCACGAGAATAGCTTTGATTTCGCGCGGTACTACCATTTTTGTCACCATATACGCGATACAAGGTGAAATGCGTACGGACTATGCAATATTTGGCCAAAACACGTACCGTTGGTCACAACGATAAATCAGCCCCCATAACGTTTATACGCTGCAGCTTCAACGCTATTTGGGTGATCAAGGTACGAGTACCGTAAAAAATAGCGTTACCGTTGTTTGCTAAGGGTGTCTAGTGTCCGATTTTTGAAGGCTCTTCCGAAAACCGGTCCGAAAAGGGAAACGTCCGAAAAGCAGCCAAAATGTCGGACTGATCATTACTTTCCTATGCAGAAGTCCTGTACTTTCACTTTTCAGCGCAACTGAAGGCACCCATCACTGTACATTTGCTTCTAAAAAGGCTAGCGCTTGGCTGTGGAAGTGCAAAGTAACATGTAACATGCCTGGATCAGGCTGGATGGCATGTACACTGACAGTCTGTACAGAGTCAGCATGGTCAGTGTGCGACCACACTCATCATTACAAAATTCACGACAGCTCTGGGGTTACCATGGCAACGGAGCGATTTTTCATGGTGTTTTAGGCGAAATTTTGAATTCTCTGTAAAAAATTGCCGAGGAGAAAAATTCGCACCATGTGGCCAGCCTTGGCGGTGAAGGGTGTCCGATTTTGGGCGAAAATTATTTGGCAGCACTGGGTATTCCCATGTCAGGCTGGCGCTGGCCTACACGTAGAATCCATGGGGCATACACAATGGCCCTTTGACTGGATGGAAAAGAGTGCACACTTATATTGGCCCTTTGACTGGAAAAGAGTGCACACTTAGGGTGCGTTCTTAAATCCTCTCGGAAAAGTTGGAGACTCTCCGAAAAGTTCGAGAGCTGTTCTTATATCCTCTCCGAATTTTAGGAGGCTCTCCAAAGCTCTCCAAGCTCTCCAAGCTTCAGAGGTGGTTGAAACTTGGAGATTCCCGCGGTTTGGGATCAGCGCATGCGAACTAGGCTAAAAGCCACGTGTTGATCATGAGTGTACGCATTTCCCTTTTCGCATACGCACATCGCATACTATATTCGCGGCACTCAAGATCGCGGCCCCTTTGGCGCTTCATTTTGCTTGACATCTGCAAAATATCTCCGAATTCTTCGAGACCCGTTCTTGAAGAATCCCAGTTTCTTCGACTTCTCTTTTCTTCTTCTCCTAGAAGCTAGAGAATTTAAGAACGCACCCTTATATGGAATGGACTGTAGTGCCAGATAACTGCCTAATCCACACGACTGGCTAAATTAAGCCGTGTGAATCGGCCTCCAATACACCTGGTCTACACCACACGGAATACGAGTACATCGGAATGGGACGGCCAAGACAGATACCTATGCACACCCTACACTTGCTGGGGTAACCAGTATCGACAGCACACTGCTGCAGCTTTGATAGAAGCAGACACTAGATGCACTGGTTGTTGTGTATCGGTAGAAAGACTTTTCATGGCTCATTTTTGTTGTGGTCCTTTCGTTTATTTTGGTTTGTTTTGCGTTCTGCTTTGACTGGTTTTGGTTGCATGTATAGTTTGTACATGATCCAAGTGACGGTTACGTCATTCTCATACGTTGTTTTGCGTTGCGCGCATGCTCGTATGCTGCCATAAATGTTAGTCTTTTTCTTCAGTTTTCAGTTTACCTCGTCGTGTCCGGTCTTCTTGTCTGTCCGTCTCCGTCTTGTCAAGAAATTATGTAGAACTCTCAGTTCAGTTTCGTTGTTGTGTGTGGCGGGTCGGATGGGCAGGGAGGCTGGGCCCCTGACGCCTGGACAACATGGGCGCGTGCACAAAATTTGGCGACCACGCCAGGACGTCTGCGAGGAGTGGCTGGTTCCTACGACAAGGACGGTGCGAAGGAAAACGCATCGTGAACAAATAACCCCATGTGAGTGTGACGCGGAGTTTGGAAGGTGCTCCTGCTGTGATTTGTTGATTAGTTTGATTCGATTTGTTTCTGCCACTTTACTGTTCACGTACTGCGCGAGTTGTTCCCCTTCATACCCCAGGGCCTGCCCAACTCTCAGAAACCGCTCTTCCAATAGCAGTTCCCCCGCGGACTCTGCCTTGCATCCTTTTTCCTCGCTGGTTTTCTCCTTGAGCTTCGTGGCCATTTTCAGTCACTGGTACTTTTAGGTGAAATTGGAGTTTGTTTAGCAACCAGCCTCGGCTACTGGGTTCTGGCAACTCAGGGCCAATAGACGTACCAACAACTTCAGCTATGACAGCTATATATACATGACTATATCCACAATCCAGTGTGTCACTATTGTCAAGAGTACATAACCCCCCAGAGTGTGCAACGCCGATCCAGCTCTGCGTAGGGTTTTGGTGGAGCGGAATCGGATCTTCTGATGTCATGCGTACACTCCACACCACCGCAAGCCCGGTCCGAGTCGAGGGAGGGCACCGTTGATTTTGATCCGAGTGTACCCGCGACTCCCCGGGTTCCCCTGAGATGTGTAGACCTACGGTATAATGACGCAAAGATCCGACTACGCTCGACCAAGACCCTATGCAGAGCTGAATGAGGCATTGCACACTCTAGGGGGATATGTACTCTTGCTACTATGATAATAATATCGTCGTTACTATATTAAGTAACGACACACTGGATTGTGGAGCCGAAACTAGTCCAACTTCCAAATGCTTTGGCAAGAGGGTAGCCTTCCGACAGGTTGGACACACACACACACACACACACACGCACACACGCGCGCACACACACACATACAAAACTCGGCCAGTCGTTGCTCCATCACAGCAGAAAACAAGCAGAGAAGGTGAAGGAGAAAACCATGCGTCCCAGAAATAGCGCAATAATCAATATGTTCATACACTGCCACCAGCAGGGCAACCTAAACCTATACACATAAACCTATGACTGTATCATGAGAAATTAGCAGGGCCATATAGTACAATTTCAAAAAACCAATAAGTCATCTACAAAGTAAGTTTTGAGGTTTTTTTACAAAGTGACAGTGAGTTTTGCTAAACAAAATCTAAAATACAACACAATAATTTAAAAATAGATATGACATAATTTACGGCAGCAGCACTTGCACCTGCAGCCGAAACGGGAGCCCAGCTCTCAGAGAAAGTATCTTAGAGTAGAACTGACAACATACACAGCTGGAGACATAAAGGCGTTTGACAGATTTGCGAATTCTTGCTCAACCCGGCATCGTGACAAAATATTAATTAGACGACGGGAGAAAATGAAAATTGAAAAGGGGATTTCAAAAAAGTACAAATGTAAAAACACTATTCTCAGCAGTGAGACGGGACAAGTGCCCAGAGCAGGGGAAAGTGACAATGAGAAATCCTGTTCCATGCACGTGTAACTTACACGCGCGGTGGCAGGCGGTGAAACGGAGGTGACAGACAGGGCAAGTAACTCAACTAAACGGAAGTGGTTAAGGGGTAAGCAGCACCAGCAGCATTCGGCTGGAGAGCGCAGTTGTGGTGGGGTGGCTGAAGAAAAATAAACCGAAGTGAAGCTAAGCAAATATACATCTTCCTACACAAGAACATGGCCAGGTACGGAGTTAGAGCAAAATGACGGGTATAATAAAATAAGGGAATAAGGAGAAATAGTGTCAGTGGATCATTTCCATCAATGAAAGTTCTGGTCCTGCAATTCGAAAACGTATATACATGTAATGGAAAACATGGAGCAGCACACGTACCATTGCGATGTTCCATTGCATGCCGCACTAGTCGGAGGCTGTGACAGAATTATGCGCGATACACAGCGGAGCATACAGCTGAAGAATCTTATGACGACCAAAGCCATGATTCTAATCATCATGATTTGACGTACACCTTGTCTGCACCCGGGCAGTAGCACAAGTGCTGTTGGTTTCGGTGATGCGAGAGTGGAGCTAGTAGTTCAGGAGTCAAAGGTCAAGAGCAGTGGGAAGCCGTCAGGGAGAACGCCTGAGATCTCCGACAGCAGTGGGGTCAGCTCCGACTGCATTGTAGCGCGCGCATCCAAGGTGGAGTTGAGGCATTTGCCGGCGAACCTGATCAGGACAATGGACCTATCAGAGTGTCCTGGTAGCAGATTGGAAATCACCGGTCGACAATCCGGCTGGAAAAGGAAGCCACGGTCGAGCAGGGCGCGCACAAACGTGCCAAACCGTGCCTCCAGAAGAACACTGGCCTTCCAGACATGCTCACTGGACGGCAGCTGACCGTTGCGCGCACTTACAGCCAGATGAGCTGCAAAGCCACCGTCCAGCAGGGCAAGCCGAGGTTTCTCTGGCGAGAAAGCCGTCACGAATGTATCCAGTGTGACGTCCTGTGGCCGCTTCAAGACAGCCTGCATGCTGCCCATCATCTCCTCCAAGGCAGGATAGTAGGCTTCGGGCACGAACTCTCGGCACAGCTTGCTCCACTGAGCCTTGCCCATTGAACTGGCCTTGCGCACAAACGCACTGAACAGCTTTGTGACTGAGCCGGTCTGGTCCGACGGCGCCGAAGCAACAATCTGCGCCAGCAGCTTGACCATGTGGAAGGTGCGCGGGTAGTGCAAGGCATTGGACTTGACGTTGCTGGCCTTCAACAACAGCACAATGGCCTCAGTGACGGCGGAGAAGACCTTCATGGAGCATTTCTCATTGACAACCGCCAGGACTTCCTCTGCGAACAACGGGCCGCCTAGAGCGATATGGCTTGCCGTGTCCGCCTTCGGGATGCACGAAAACATATCGGCAATCGACGGCAACTCTGAGTACTCGGCTGACATGAGCTTCTGGAAAGATGGAGGCGGCAGGATGGCAAAGACAATGTCAACTTCGATAGGGGCGTGCGTGGAGAGCGGCACAACGCAGCGCAGACGAGGGCATCGTGATGAGAACCCTCGGTGCACGCGATCGAGTCCGCACTGCTCTAGGTGGCCGGCCATGCGCTTCATCCACTCCATGTGGTCGGCACGCATGTCCGACGACGCCACGACGCACAGGTCAAGATCGCTGCAGCGGCCCAGCACCACCGAGCCAAACGGGATCACCAGGCGGCAGGCCTGCTGCTCATCGAATCCACCGCCATCGCTAGTTGCATCCGTCAGCAGACTAGCCCAGGCGGTAGAGAGAAACTCCAGCACGGCAGAAACGGCGGAACGGAAAGGACCTTTTGCCAGTGAGCCGTAGGCCTTGACAAAGTGGCTGAGCGGATCCTTGTAGCGTTTTGCCGGCGCCTCGTGAGTCGAGGCGTCAACGATGCCCCACTCTAACGCCGGGTAGCGCTTCGTCAGTCGCTCGCAGGCTGCGAGATTCTCCGGCAGATCGTCGTAGAAGACTATCTTCTTCAGGTGGCCGTGCTTTGCAATTAGGTTGACGATGGCCTCTTCTTTGTAGGAAGCAGTGTGCGGACTCTCAAACGGCTGGCAGATCAGCTGGTCGGGTACCACGTTGAACTGGCGCAGGACAGCGGCAACGGCATCGTACATCGTCTCCGCCTGTCGACCGGTCAGAACCACCATGGCGGTGTGAGGACGACCGCTGTGCTGGCGGAACGAGCGCATCAACGGACCGGGTCTGAGCGGTAGCGGCGGCTGCAGAGACTGTGGGTAGGCTAGATAGCCCGGTTCGGGCCACTTCGTCCCGGTCAGCTTCTCATACAGCGCTGTACCCTCGGTGGGACCCACTGTATCCAAGAGCGTGCCGTCAAAGTCGTAGATGTAGATTGTCTCCACGGTATGCCGAGCTTCGGCCGTCTCGCTGAGCACGGCTGGGCTGGCTGTTCTCGGCGGCGGAGTGGTCAGCACACGGCGCAGGTGCTCGCTGTCCGTGATCACCGACAGATCATCGAACGGTGGCGTGGTGATCATACAGCCCACAGTACCGGACAGGAGGAGTTCGCGTGTGTGCTGCAGAGGCTTGCCGCTGGCCAGCCATTGCTCCAGCATGTCGTTAGAGTACTTCGCCAGGGACTTGTTGGTGAAGGAGATGGTAATGTGCGGACAGGCGTTAGCCGACTTGACTGCGTCGCCCAGTATGCGCACGCTGACCGCCTGGTTGCGGCCGTCATCTGCGCACCCTCGCACGGTCACCGTCACGGTCTTACCCAGGGGCAATGCCACCGCCTGCTCAACGGTGGGCTGGAAGATGAGAGTCACGTGCAGCGCCTCGGGAACGTTGTCCAAATGAGTCGGCGGATAGGCGCGCAGCAGCTGACGACGGGACTGCTGGCTCATGAAGATGGCCGCGAAGAAAGTGCTGGGCAGTTGAGGTGCACTGGCAGCAGCAGAGTTGGCAGTAAAGCTGCTGACGTCCAACGACTCACTAGGCTTCAGCACTGGTTGAACCGTAAGACCGCTGCTATCCTCTTCCCACACTTCAAACATACGCAGTACGGCCGGCAGTGGCACCTTGTGCTGGCCGCGCTCGCAGAAGCGTCGCGCCATCTCCGCGTCCCCGCACGACAGCTGCACGATGCGCGCGTCGTAGCCGCACATTGCCGCCAATCGCAGATAGGCGGTGTACTGCCAGCGCTGCACGTGAGTGTTGTCGACGATGACACTGCCGATGCCGGCATTCAGAGCCTCCATGAACAGGTCCAGGCAGTACGTGTGAGCATCTCGGATCTTCTGGCTGCTGAAGTCGTAGCGTCGTGCCGTAGTTGCACTGGCATCCGCGCTGCTATCCACATCGCGCTCTCCAGTTCCACCGCTGGAGACAAAGTACTCGTCGGCGCAACACACACGCACTGCTCCCTGCTGGCCAAGCTGCGAGCGCAGTGCCTCGGCTAAGCGCGACTTCCCAGAGCCCGGCAGCCCGCGCAGAACGTATACGCATCCGGCGACGGGTGCAGTTGAAGCCGTCGTACTCGTCCCTGAAGTGGCCCCGGGCAGAAAGCGCCACGTGCCTTGTGCTGCTGTTCCACCCAGGGACAGCTGCATGAGATGTTTGACAAGGCGGCTGTGCTGCTCCAATCGAGCATCTCCTGTGGCCTGCAAGGCAGCTAGCATGTCAGCGGCCACATCTGCAGACAGGGCGTTGGCGGCACGCAAGCGCTCAATTCGCATTTGCAGGCACTGCAGCAGTGATGGCACAAGTATAGCGAGACCAAGGCTGGCCGTTGTCATACGCACGTAGAATCCGTCCACGGCCGACTTTGGCTCGGTCATGGAACACACGTGCAGGCAGTCGACCGCCTGGCGGCCGAAATCCAGGTCCGAGAACTGCGCGTAGAGTGCTGGCTCTACGTGCGCGCCATCGCCCATGGCCCGGCACATCGGTCGACTCAGCTTGACAAGAGTCATGTGCGGCGTGAAGCCCTCGTGATTACCCGGCGTCGCCACACCAGCCTCGCTCAGCACCTGCAGCAGGACTTGGTTGAGACGCGCCAGCTCGGGCGTCAGCTCCACGGACGCGAACACCACGCGGCCGCGGAAGTTGCCCACGCCGCTGATTCGCAGTCCGCCGGAGGAGAACAGCGCCATGAAGTGCTTCTGGTTGGCGGTCAGCACAGCCTTGACCCGGTCAGCATCCTTGGCCGATGCTATTCTCAACATGCAGACAGTGACGTGCAGGGCAGTGCTGGATAGCACACCGTCAGCGAGACGCGGGTCACCAGCCACAATGCTTTGCTGAACCGTTTCGGCGGCCGCTACAATCTCCGCCTCGGTCACGCGGATGCCGACGAAGAAATTCGGTCGCAGCGGCCCGGTGCGATGCGACATTGTCGTCTTGCTGGTTTCGCCTTCATCGCCGTCATCATCTAAATCATCCTCAAACGTTAGCTGCGCTTCTCCGGAGCTAGATGCGGCGGCTGATACGGCTGGCTTCGGTGCGTTGGACGCGTGTCGCTTTAGCACATCGGCGATAGTTGTGCCGTCGCCGCGAGAGCCGAAGAAGTTGTCCAACTGTACGCGCTTGTCCCAGACGATCTCGTCCCGGTACTTGATGTACTGGAAGCGGTGCTTGGGTACAGCTAGTACGGTTCTGGAATCTACTGATGCCAGGTCTTCCCAGGAGAAGGCTGCAAACGGTTTCTCGATAATGCCAACAAAGCGGTCCAGATAGCCGATCTTGAAGTGCTCTGTCGGCAGGTCGTCATCCCACTGCAGCCCGACCAACGGTATAACACATACGCACGCACGCACGCGCACACACATACACACACACACACACATACACACACACACACACACACATACACACACATACACACACACATACACACACACACACACACACACACACATACACACACATATACACACATACACACACATATACACACACACACACATACACACACACACACACACACACACACACACACACACACACACACACATTGGTCTTAGTTGTAGGATGGGGTGGTTGCTTAACACCGGTGTCGCTCTATTACGAACTAAGTTTAGCATGGAGAAGGAACGGCAACCTTCATGGCTGTTATCAAGACAACCATGCTGGTGCATATGCTGAAGTGAATTTTAAATACAACAGGGTCCGCACCACTCCTTGAATTCCTTGAAAGTCCTTGAATGTCAAAGCCGGATTTGAAAGTGCTTGAATATCCTTGAATTTTCGTGTGGGTGCTTGAATTTTTGAAAAAAGTGTGTTTTTCCTTGAATTTGGGTTTGAATGCGGTAGATCTACTCACGTTCATGCAGTAGGTCTACGCGCACTGCTGGGTACCCGTAACCGGTACCGTAGTCCGTAGATCTAGTAGAACTGAGTAGCAGCTAGTACATGTGCAGAGAACGTGTGTCGCAACTGCGAACTAAACCAACTTTTCGCTACAAAAGTGGGAGTCGAGTCGGACTTTGACCGTCGATCATCGCCACTTTTTCTTCATCATTTCATTCTCGGAGGACTTTGTGCGGCGCATGGTTTTGCCTGTCATAATAGTAAGTAGTGCCGTAGTGAAGCATTTTGCAATCATGCCAGGTGGCAAGTGTGTTTTTCAGGAGCAATGGCTACAGAAGACTGAGTTTCGTAGATGGTTGGCGTCTGTCCCCGGCAACAAGCGACAAGCCAAATGCACTCTGTGCAAAAAGGTGGTCGATATTGCCGCGATGGGCGAGTCAGCCCTTCGAAGCCACGCGAAAGGCGGCAAGCACAAAGACCTGGCGGAGCAGAACGTGGTCACCGTGAATCAGTTCTTCGTTTCCACCCAGCCGTCTCCGTCAGACTCAGCAACGATAGCAGCATCTGTTCCAGTCGCCACGTCGACATCGTCGGCTAGTAGTACATGTAGTACTACTGCGGGACCTGCAATAACATGTAGTGCCACCGAATCTGCTGCTGCGTCTATAAGCCAGCCAATACTATAAGGTGATTTATAGTATTGTAGTGAAAAGAGTTTAACTCAGTTAATTGTAGTGTGGGAAGAAGACGCAAGCTGTATTTACTGTAGTCACAAACCTTTCTGGACCGGAACTGGACTGGACTGAAATTTCCCCTTTTCTTTTTTCCTTCTTGCACTGCAGGTGAGCCAACTTCAGGCAAGAGAGCTGCGTGTAGAGTGCCGCTCCCACATTGTTGCCACACTGCTGAAGCTGAAGGACAAGTCACCAATTCGACACGCTGTTGTGCAGGCAGCATCCTGTCTCGACCCCTCTCAGATGGCTGATGCCACAAGGAAGGATGCCTGTTAAAGGAATTTCCGTCGCCTTCTCACGGAATTTCTTGCGTGTGGACAGGTGTCTGGAGGGGATCTTGCCTGTGACGACACCGTGAAGCAGTATACAGACTTCCTCGCCATCGTCCCTATGAAGCACCAGCAGTATGCCAAGTTTGATCAGCTGAAGGACAGGCTGGACTCCCTACTATGGACGGACATGGCCCAGAACCCGAGATTCTCCAGACTGTGGCCAGTTGTCTCCAAAGTGTTGTCGCTGTCGCACGGACAGGCGGGCGTGGAACGTGGGTTCAGCGTCAACCGGGAGGTGGAGGCCGACAACTTGTCAGAGGCTGGTTTCGTTGCCAGACGGCTGGTGTGTGACCACGTGCAGGCTGCAGGTGGCATCGATAAAGTCGATGTGTCATCTCCGGAGATACTGGTTGCGGTAGGCAGTGCCCGTACTGCATACCGGCGACATCTGGAACGTGAAGCCAGTGAGCGGGCACAGACACAGAGTGGTCCAGTTGTGGATAAGGCCACAAAGAAGAAGGAAGCTGTAGGATCCTTGCAAGAGCAGATTACAGCTCTTCTCAAGTCTGCCGACGACTTGGCAAAGAAGGCTGAGGATGAGAAGAGCATCAACTTCCTCATTCAGTCCAATAGCCTGCGCTCAACTGCCGCAGCTAAGCAACAGGAAGTTAACTCTTTGAAGGAGCGGCTGAACGTGCTGGAAGCCCGCAAGAAGAAATGAACAGAACAGATGTGTGTGTGTGTGTGTGTGTGTCCGTGACAGCTGCTTGGCTCTCGGCGGGCATTCCTTTTTCTATTATGGCAATTTATTAACAACTATTAGACGTGCGCGCTCGTGTGACTGACAGTGTGCGTGTCTTTTTTAACTTTTGTGCCGAACTGTTTGTCTGCTAACTGTTACTAATTACTGTCGGAAATAAGGACTAGTTATTTTGGATCCAGATTCCTGTATTTTATGAATATTGTTGATAGATACGTTAACGCTGCTCGATTGGGTAATAATTATGAGTCAAGTTTTTGTCTCCCGGACCTTGGGTGGCCTTGAACTTTGCAACATGAGAGTGGCCAACCAACGGTTAGCCCACCAACTAATGTCCTTGAATGTCCTTGAAAAAATGGGGTTTGGGGCCCTTGAAAACCCTTGAATAATATTTTCATGACTTGGTGCGAACCCTGTACAAACTAAATAAGCAATTCAGTATCAACAGGAACACACATGCGACACAACAAGAATACCGTAAAGTCGCGTGTAAACGCAGCACTTCTGATCACATAAGCCGATGCATAGCGCGCACTCGAAAACAAGCCAGGCTTCTATTCCAGTTGCAACTTTTTGTGCAACTGAGGCACAAAGACATGCGTATGTGACAACGCACTTTTCACACTTTTTCATGCTTGCATAGGAATTAGGAGTTGCTTTAACCTGTTCAGCACGAAGGACGTAATAATACGTCATTCAGAATACCACTGCACCACGGAGGACGTAATATTACGTCCTGAGTGTACATCGCGCATATACGCGATTTGTCTGGATCGCGTGCGTTCAAACTATCGTAACTCAGTCAATTCTTGGTCGATTCTCACGATCGAAGTATGTATCTGGAAGAGAAAACTCTCAGCTTGTGATAGAAACAATCGCCGAAGCGATACGACCCCGGGTTGTTGAGATATGCGACTCGACACGGCAAATTCAAAGAGAATTTTTTGCGCGATCTGCAGAACGCGTATTTTGCATTTTCGATCATTTTCGATCATTTTTGCGCTGCCTGCTGCCATGGAAACTAGATTCAAATGATGGTGGCGGATCTCGGGAGTCCTCCAAAAAAATTTGAGCTCGATACGAGCAAGGAGGGCGAAATGGCAGCTGAGGATTTGGTCTCTTGCCCGTGCTCAAGTCTGTCGAGCGCGTGGGTGAAGTTTGCCAGACTGTAGCATGGGCGTTTAGTTTCGCTCCGAGCTGAGTTTGGAACTAGTTTGCTCCTCGTCTCAAGACCTTTCCAGGAAGCTCAAGATCGTGGAATTCGTCCAAGGGAAGGTAAAGTTATCGATCCTTGAACAGGTAGTACTTTCATAGGAAAAACGCCACTTTTGCAGGTGTTGCCGTGGGGAGGCATTCAGGTAGCGTCGTGCTCAAAAGGTTAAAAGTGCAGCACCATTCATTCACCTGTATGCGGTGGATAACATCGACGACCTGCCGCATCGGTGTCTTCTTCCCTCCCTCTGCCGACGCCGACGAGCCTACGAGGAAGACAACACACAAAACACAATGTGCGAGATCGATATAAAAACAACAAATACGATGAAATATAGGATATGGGGAAAACGAGAAAAAAAATGTTACCGTATTATCTCTAATATAAGCACAGTCTCCAATAATAGCACGTCTCCAATAATAGAACACCTTGGGGCAGCATTCAAAAAATAAAGTGCTCAGTCTCCATTATAAGCACACTGTGTAAATTCATTATCTGTACCGGCGAAAAAAACCTGAAATGTGTGTGTCTGACATGAATTTGGCATGGCAACATGCTTCTGAAATGAGGTTGAAATAATAATGGAACAGTCTCCAATAAAGGAACGTCTCCATTAATAGCACGGGGCGGAGGTACATTGAAAAAATAAAGGACCGTGCTTATATTAGAGATAATACGGGTACCCGCTGAAATTAGCCGTTCTACAGTATGCTACAAGTACAAAAAATTGTAAGTACATGTATATGTACTCAGATGGAGAGCCAAGGTTTAATTTATACAAAAGAGAAAGACCTATAACTTAGAACCTTCCAAGTTGGAAGGCTGTTGGAGTGCGCATCCAAGATGTGCTAGAGCTGTTAGCCAGTTAGTTGTAGAACGTCAGTACCGTCGGTCAGTGTCGTGCAATGTTATCGCATGAGCTGATTGTTTAGTAACTGGTGGTGTTAGTGGACAGTATAGCGTAACTTGTAGTTCTTTGGTCTTTCTCACATGTATATGTCATACACCTACCGTATTTTACCGGTTGTAAGTCGACCCCGGTTATAAGTCGACCCTTCTATCTGGAGGTCTCAATTCTGCGTTTTAAAATTTTCACCCAAAGAAGCACTACTAACCACCTCCTGCTCCTAACACATCAACAAATCATGTAAACATTCCTTATTGGAGGATATAACGTCCCAGTCCTTGAAAAAGGCCAATAAACTGGCAAAATGTGTAAACATGGTGCACTCGTGCATGCAGTGCAGGTCATTTTTTGGAAGATTCTGATAGTTACCGGTTATAAGTCGACCCCCACCCTTTCTCCTTCTATTTTAAGTCGTAATAGGTCGACTTACAACCGGAAAAATACGGTAGTATCCGTAGTAACAATAAAACATACTGTAAGCCCACAAATTTTCCGCCCATGCAAATTTCGGCCTCCCAGGGCTAAAACCCATTTCGGCCGCATTAAATTTTCGGCATACTGCTGCTGCCTGTATACACTGTCACACTGAACTTTGCAAAACAAAATTTCGGCCGCAACAAATTTTCGACCTAATACGACCAGGCTGCAAGTAGCCGAAAATAAATATGCGCTGAATATGTGTAGACTTACAGTAACCCCCAAGAGTGTGCAACTACCTGTAACCGGTACAACCTCTATGCAGTGCTGTGATGGCAGAGATTCCCATCACGTGACATACTCGTAGTTCAATATCTGATGCTGGCGAACAGTGCAAAGTGACCACCAGAGAGTTGTACTGGCGTGTACAGGTTTGTCACACGATTTGAAGTTCAGACCCCATAAACTGCAGCTACACACTCTGGGAGGGTGGGGGGTATGTACTCTTGGTACTTCATACTTTGATCAACACAACTAGAACACAATCACACAAAGCCAGGCAAGGAGGAGTACCTTTGCCCGGCGCACTTGGTTCTGTTGCTGTCATTTCAGATGAGTTTGAAGCCGGTGTTGCTGCTGCTGCAGTGGTGGTAGTGGTAGCTGCACTTGCAGCACGTGATTTCTTGCCGACGGCGCCGGGGTGAAGATTGAGACAGCTGTCGCCAAACTTGCACTGTCCCTTCTTGAAAAACCTGCACACCGCTGGTGTACCACTTTGCAGTGGAACAGGCTCGGACGGTGACGCGGTACTAGTCAATTGTGATGTGGTCGATTCAGCTTTGACGTTGCTAGAAGCAGCTCCATCACTGGTGGCATTGGCAACTACGGGTGCGTCAGCATGGCTCTTCGAACTCACCGTCGATGCCTGACTAGCTGACTGGGTGGGGGGTGCAGACGCTGTGGCTCCACTCGCTTGCTCCTGGCTTGACAAGTACTCCTGTGCTTCGCAAACGACGGTGAAAAGTGCGGTCTCTCCAGCATGCTCTGCCGACGTAGCCTCAAGAAAGTCCAGCAGAGCAATGGCCGACTCAGGGCTCAACTGTTCGCTGGCATCGTCGGCAAGCGTCACCTTGGCTGGTGTTGCCGGATAGGAATCTATGCACACGCACATACAAAAATTCATGTATACACGAACGTACACACATACACACACACACACACACACACACGCACACACGCGAGTGCGCGCGCACACACACACACATCAAACACACATGCACACAAAAAACACGCATGCACACAGATACACACCCACGCACACACACACACACACACACACACACACGCACACAGACACACACACAATGAGTAACATACAATTCTCTCCAGACCACAGACCAGCCTCCACGCCACCTTTCTAGCATGGTGACTCAGATCGTCTTTAATGAAAGGTGAACAGATTCCGGATGCCCTCCCCTCACACACTGTCAAACACGTCTATCCTTTTGTTCAAAGTCGATAGAACGTCGAGTGCTCAGGAGTGTTCCACACGGGTCAGCTCAGCACTCTAACCCTTCCATGTTTCCGCCCATGAAAGTAGATGTCAGCAAAACTGTAGAAGCACGGTGCGAGATGGTGTACAGCATTCACTTGACTACGCTGTGCGACTCGCTGTGAGCGAAAGTTGAGTGTGCATGACTGCGATCACGTATGCACATGAGGGACTGCGTGTACGACGCTTTAAGTTTTAGACCGAGCTCAACGTCACTGTGTACATCACATACAGTCAAGCCTGTCTAAGACGACTGCTCAAGGGACCCTAAACATGTGGTCTCTGTTACCAGGTGGTCTCCTTATCCAGGGTCATGTGACTGCAAATAGCATCTCTTGGTCCTGGTTTCAGTGGTCTTTTAGGACCAAGGCCGTCACAGTCGGCTGAGGCCGACCCACTTTTTCGGGCGGTTTTTTTTTTTTTTTTTTTGGAGCACCCTGCAACAATGCGTGATGATCGCAGCTCAGCGCAAATGTGGCAAATCCTTGTCCATGATACGATCGTGGTTTGTTGCAGATGCACTGAATGGCACCAAACGCCTGGAAATGCTTGCAATTGGCTTCAATTTTTGAAATTTTTCCCGGGGGAGGGTAATTTGCCCAGAAATGCTTGCAAATGGCTTCAATTTTTGAAAGTTTTTCCCAGGGAGGCCCCCAGACCCCCCTTCCATGGCCGCCCCACCTCCAAAGTCGGTGGTGCGACAGGCCTGAGGACAGGTGGTCGCCTTTTCCGAGTGGTCGTCTTGACAGGTTTCACTGTACAATGACACGAGCTCAGCTTCTCCAGCTGCACTGGCACTTAACCACAGTTCAAAGAATGCTCATAGCAGGTTGAAACAGACTCAGGCTGAAGATGGTCATGGAAGCAAAGTATTCACGCGGACACACCCGCACATGCACAACCACACGCGCACACACACATATACGAACACGCACACACACACGCGTGCGTGTGCGCGCACACACATGTACGCACGTACACACGCACACACATACACACGCGCGCGTGTGCGCGCACATACATGTACGCACGCACACACACACACACACACACACACACACACACACACACACACACACACATATGTACACGCACACGCACACACACGCACACGCACATGTGCACTCACTCACACACATACACACACACACACACACACACACGCACACACATACGTACGCACACACATGCACATACATACACAGACACGCGTGTGCGCGTGCACACACACACACGCGGACGCATAGGCACACACACACACACACACACACACACACACACACACACACACACACACATACACACACACATACACCCTGATACCAGTACCAAATAAGTTGCAAACAGGAGACTTTCAATATTTCTTTTACCTTGCACATTTATCAATAACACGACTTTCCTCCATGGTTCGGCCAGGCGAATCGTACACTCCGCATCGGAGAGAGCCACGAAATCAGCCCCGTAGATTTCCTGAAGAACCTGGAACTCTGATTCTGCCTCTGCCATGATTTGATCCACTCCGGCGACAATACTAGTTCCCAAAATATCAGTCGACAACTATTGCAAGAACTGGATCGTTTCTTCAAAGTTCTCCAATCTTTCTAGATTGGCCAGAAGTCTAGGTATCGTGAATAAATAAAGTGCTGTGCTTACAGCAAATACAGTGATTGGTGTGGTGGGAATTTCAGGATAGCAGGTCACTAATCATGGTACCCATCACTCAGTACCAGATAGGCCGTGGAGTGCAGCCGTATTTCAGCAAATGACGAAACAGAAATTTGCTGTGTGCATTTCAAACACAGTCAGATACTGACAATCATGGATTCATGGACATGTGGATTTGAAAGTTTCTCCTCCTTTTGTACGCATGACGCAGCTATGCGCTCACCTAGCTACATCATCAAGGCTACAATGACTGTAATGTTTTCTGATCAATGACGTACCTGGTGAGATCATTGCACCTTCACAAAAACGAACGAAAGTCGAAAGGGCAGGATCAGGACAGGAGGAGGAGAGGTACTACAAAGTACTTTGTCTTCACTACTTACTTGTACTTGTAGCTAGGTGAGTAGAGTATAGCACGTAAGTACCGGTAATACAATGATTATGACTGACTGTAGTAGGACTCTGCTACCACGGACTGTCTGTACTGTAGATGTAGCCTGTGCTCACTCATATCAAAAGTGTTTTGCACTGCAGTCTCGGATACTAGTGCTTGGTCAGTTGGTCTAATAGTCCGCAGTCCAAGTGCTCAAAATCAGGGAGTAGTACAATATATAAGTCAGATCACCCAAAATCAAACTTCCGCTCATTTATCATTGCAGAACTCTGTCGATATAATAGAACTAATTCAAGATTGTCTGATGTTCTTACTATCCGTGAGCGTTTTTGGTGCAGACTTAGGCTCAGAGGCTATCCTCCACATTTCTTGGCTCCTATCTTCATGAATATTGAACCTCGTGTTACACATCATTCTGCTGCCAAGAAAGCGAAGACCAGCCACAACAGGAATACAATTACATTTGTTACTTCCTATCACCCGCATTTTGCAAGAAATCGTCTTAGAACGATATTAACAGAATCTTTCTCCTCTTCCAATGTTGAGATCTTCTATCGCAAAACGAAACAATTGTTTCACTGAAGCTGGTTTCTGATAAACATTTTCAAATGTTTGTTCTCTTTTCTCCATTCTCCATATTTTCATTGTTTGCAGGCTTAGTCGCCTGCATTTAGGCGGGGTCCAAGCTTTGGATCCCGCCTAAAATTCAATTCACCTCATGAATATAGTACTCATAGTTGCATGCGCACTTCATTCATGACACATGACACACATACACCTTGTGCAATCATTGCATGACCGTATTACCGTAGCATTTCCCAATGCCCTTGGGGCCCCTAGCGTTTTGGTGGCCCACATGTGTCAATACATTTTCTACCCACCTAGTGGGAGCATAAAATTGTGTTTCGTTCCACTTTACTCTTCACTCTGATGATCTACTCCTAGTAGTGAAACCGGTCAGCCAAAAGTAAACTTTCAAAGAATGTCACACTTGTTTGTGCAGTTTGTGTCGGGGGTATCACTTCATTAAGTATTGTACTACTCCCTGCTCAAAATGTAGCCCTAAAAAAATTCCGTTCGCCACGACGGGGCACCAAGGTTTGATGTGGGGGCCTGAAAGAGGACCCCTTGAGGTACCCAAAACAGTCGAGAACTACTTCTAGATCTGGGGCGCTCTCACGATAGAGGCGAATTTCTTCGGGGCAAATCCATGCACAAGTTTCGCGGAGCGTAAGTTTGAGCATGCATCAAACCCACTCAAAAGTTCAAATTTGAAATCTCGCACACTTCGAGTGCCACGTGGTGCGCTTCAGATGTAAAAACGTATTCCTGGACGGTACTCTATCTGTAGAATTTAGGTTCTAGGTCGATCGGGTGTGCCTCGCCTATGCCATGGTTTCACGTATTTTGGCAATACCAACTGCAGTGATGAGCTCCTGCCGAGTGCTGGCCGGCCAGGTACATGATGCTATCTCCTCTGTACCGGAACCTGAAACGAATAGAGCTCTGAAGTGTATTCACCCAATGCCAAGTGCCAAATATTCTGACAGCCTGCACGGCATCCGAGGAGTCCGCAGTTCGATGGACAGGACTCATCAATCGCTACGAGCCCCTGTTGTTGAACCAGAAGAAAAAATATGCCTGTTTTGTGGCACGCTGAAACAAATAAGCGAGCTGTACAACCAAGCAGGCGACATCTCAACTCGTGACAGTGGAAGCAGAAAAGAAATAATTGCGGAACGCTGCTGCCACACGACAAGATCAAAGGATTATGGCAGCAATCAGTTCAGCGAATCTGATCGCTAGAGAGGTACACTACCATAAGTCTTGCTATCATTCATGCACTTATGAAGAAACTCTCGCTAGGATTGTAGCAAGCAGACAAAAGACGCACATTGCTGACCTCACTGCCTCATCGAATTCCTCTGAGGATGATTTCTTCTCTGCTGTAGGCAGTGAACTACTTGATGACTGTGTTCAGGGGCGTAGCCAGGATAGTGATCAAGGTGGTTTCCTCGACGTTCCCACACAAAAGAGCATGCCTTCATTGTGGTCCTTTCATGTCGGCCGATAATTATATATTTTGTTATTACACAGACAGAAGAACGTGAAGTTGTTGTTTCCTAACTCTGAGTTTCATGAACTGAATCAATCCGATCAGACGAACATTGATACTGACCTTGGCCTGAGAGTGCTACTAATACTAAGTCCGCTGCGCTTGCCACATCCATGGTATATATCAGTACTCTCACTCTCAGGGCAGGGTCAGTATCAATCTTCGTCTGATGATCGATCTAGTTCGTGAAACTGAGAGTTACGAAACCGCAACTGCTCGTTCTTCAGTCTGTGTATTCCGCTCTTTGCCTTCGGCAAATTGAGCCGTCTACGGACAGTGGATGAACGTCACATGGTATATTTTGTTATCATAACCACAACAGCTCTACGGAGAAACATGTGGAGAACATAACGGCATAAAACAAGACATTCAAAGCGGATGATGTACATTATAAGGCTGACGTGCCGCACTGTGTAGCGTACTAACCATTCCAAAATGGCCAATCATCAGACGAAATAGTCAAGGGCAAGTAAAAACGCGTAGATTGGTTTCAGATTTAAATAAAAAACCACGTAAGTCCGAACAGGGATGGCTACAGTGTGCGATGTGTAGAGTTATGGTCCGCGCGTTATGGTCTTTCTTGAACCAGCTGCAAACCAAGATCGAATTCGGTTTTTTTGGGGGGGGGGGGGTGCTTTGGCACCCCAAACACCCCTTCGTATGCCCCTGGTGTTGTTGTGGTCGCTGCGGAAGTACAGTTAAAAATAGTTCATTCCCTTTGTTTGACCATACCTGGTCTTTGGGTCGCAATATACACAGCGGTTAACTATCAGCATTGTCTAATATTTTGCGGAACTATTTCCCTAGTTTGAAACAAATTTGATGCCGCATTTCTTTATGTTTAGGTGCTGACACACACACTGCATTTTCAGCCACTGCATTGCTGTAAACCATTACGTTGACTTGCACTTGAAGTAAATGCACTCTTTCTAAGGCTGACTCCAGTGTGCATGGCACGGGTTTTCTCATATCAGTCTCTATACACTGTGGTGGAGGTGACTCAACAGTCTCTATACATGTAATTAACTAACTCGTCTCATCAGGTTTCCTTTGTGTATTTTGTTGTCACATGTAATTCTAGAACATAATATAATTATTAGTATTATTGCTTTGAACTCATCCGTTATGCGATAGTGTGGTTGTAGGTACACACTGCAAGGTAGACATGACATGACAACTGTGTCGCATGTTGTGTCATACTGTGCAGACTGTGCAGTACTATTTCTCCTCTCTTCATGCCTATACTTCATCCAAATTCAGTAAAAATTCGTATGCTGGCTTTCCTCAGCCTCTGTGCCTCGAATACAGTTCACAAACATCGCTATGATGCTTGCAATAGCCTCAAAATTCAAATTCATGATCCAGTTGCCATGGCAACGCGTAGAAAAACAATTGTCGCGATTTGGTCAACAAAGCCCCAACACAGCTAATCAAGAGACACATGCCTGGAAAGCCCTGCTCTTGCTCTTTCATTTGGTCATGTCAAACCTTGGTGCCCTTTCGTGGCGAACGAAAAGTCACAATTCTGCACCCTGGACTGCGGACTATAATCTCAGTCACGAGTAGTCTGTCGACATCATAGACTCATAGTCTGTCCCCGGGGAAAATTGCAATTCCGCGGCCGCGTTTTTTTCCGCGTTTTTTGCGATTTTTTAAAAGACCGCGTTTTCCGCGATTTTCCCGCGTTTTTTGAACTTTTTTGTTGCACTACACGTACACACAGTCTGTCCCCGGGGAAAATTGCGGAAAAAAATCGCAAAAAACGCGGGGAAAAACGCGGCATAATATGGCATAATTTGCGGTGAATTTGCGGTAAATATGCGGTAAATATGCGGTGAATAATATTGATGTGCGGCAATTTTCAGTGAGTATGTAGTGAAATCAATCAGTTACAAGTCTCTGGTGTAAGCACTCGTCATATTTGAGTAAAAAGCCGCCACGATGAGACGTTGCTGACCGAACAGTGCACTGTGTGTACGTGTAATGCAACAAAAAAGTTCAAAATACGCGGGAAAATCGCGGAAAACGCGGTCTTTTAAAAAATCGCAAAAACGCGGAAAAAAACGCGGCCGCGGAATTGCAATTTTCCCCGGGGACAGCACAGTGCACTGTTCGGTCAGAAACGTCTCATCGTGGCGGCTTTTTACTCAAATATGACGAGTGCTTACACCAGAGACTTGTAACTGATTGATTTCACTACATACTCACTGAAAATTGCCGCACATCAATATTATTCACCGCATATTTACCGCAAATTCACCGCAAATTATGCCATATTATGCCGCGTTTTTCCCCGCGTTTTTTGCGATTTTTTCCCGCAATTTTCCCCGGGGACAGCATAGTACTAAACTGCCGCAAAGAACATACCGTCAATGACATCATCTGAGTAGGCTACAAGTACAGTAGCATGATGCATAATAGCATGACTGTACAAGAATGGCACTGCTACTATACATGTATTATACAGACTACGCCGCCGGGCAGCCAGCACCCAGCCGGTCCGGCCGCGATCGTCATCGTGACTGAGTGTGTTAAGCGCACCATGCCGCTGAGAATGCGTCAAACTGATTTGTTCAAAACACGGACAAACTGTGACCGTCTAGCAAGTCATTGCCTTTTTAAAAATACAAGTGGGAAATTCAAGTCCTGTGTAACCGGTATATGCCGGTTACTGAGCCTCCCACATGCACACACACACATTGGTGCAATCACACACGCTGTGGCGCAAACACACGCGCACACACACATACACACACACACACACATAGGAACAGACATGTGTGTGCATGCGCGCACGTGCGCGTGTGTGTGTGTGTGTGTGTGTGTGCGTGTGTGTGTGTGTGCGCGCACGCAAAAATCAGACCCCGTGGCACAGCCACTGCCATCACAATGCCATTATCATGGGCCCCGGCGCCTAGACTCTAGTCGCTATAATATTATGACGAAATTTGCTACTGTTATAAGGAGAGTCGATTGAAATTTCTAAAACTAGAAATGCCTACACAGGAAAGCCTAATAAAATTCAATACACTTGAAACCAAGGCCTGCTCGGTAGAGTGTTCCGAACTGTCGAGTCCCTTCACAAGACCATCACAGCTACGTGTAAATCCTGAATGATGGTTCCGCTGCTTTGGACTAACATAAGATACGCAACTTTTAAAAACGATTACTACTAACTGTACTTAGCGTGTGCAATGCGCTAGGATAAACTGCTGAACTATAAAACATTGGTCAGTTACAGAGCCAGAACTGTCCTCACTATGGTGGCGATGGTGGCGTGTGTGTGCAAGGCGCGTTAGTCGGCCAAGACGGCGAAATCAAAGTTACAAAGATCATCAATTTTAGAAAGATAACAGGATAAGAAAGACCAGCAGTTCAGCGGGCATTCAAGCATAATCCTTGGCTCTCTATCCGAGTCTACAAAAAAAAGGAGCGCTAATTATCTGGAGCGTTAATTATCTGACTAAAGACTTCGAAAACGATACGCATACATGTACAACAAGATTCCTATCGACGGATGTGAGGATAACGACGGGTGACCAGTGACGGCAGAGCATTCGTACGTCACTGAGGCCAACTGATTCAAGGCACAGCTGGGAACGTGACAAATCTGCCAATTTTGGACGTCAGCAGTATTTCACTGTTGTGGTCTGATGTCGAGTGTGCAGAGCGCGGACACCCGGGAACCGCTTCAAATGCACCCTGGGGCTACGTCCTTGGTATTGCTGAGCCAAGACTGCAGTAGCGTGCCCTTGGAGACAGCAGTAGCAGTACGTCTTACAGCAATCTCAACTAAGCGTATCTGTATCACAAACCTACCACCCATACGTTACAATGTCCATAATGGTATAGTGCAGCCAGTGCCAAAGAGCGTCGACAGAAGTCTTGCCTGTCAGAGTCAAAGGTAAATGGAATGAACTTTGCTCATGGCGCCTTGAAGCTTGCATTGTCGAAATGAACCTCGGACCTGAGAGATGAATACACGACGCAAACAAAACACAAAGGAAACAAAATTTCATGGGTCGCTTGAGACTCAGATACTGTAAAAGCAGAAATTTTCGGTGGTGTTTTATTTTCGGTAACTTCGGTGCCGACAATTTTTACCGATAATAAAACGCACCGAAAATTTCGGTACAACCGATACTGTATACATGTAGTACTAGTACACCTACCTGGAGAACGGGTTTTACCGAAAATTTCCCTCTACTGAACCGCCGATTTTGGAGAATACCGAAAATATTACACCACCGAAAATTTCTGCTTTTACAGTAGACTGAATTTTCAGCATCCGTAGGAACTCCATCACCCTGCAAAGATCTAAGGTGCAGATGCAGCTCATAAAGTGGTTGGAGGTGAGTAGATAAGCCCACCAGCAAAGTGGTCAAAGGAAGACATGTATGTACTGATTTGTTTTTAGGTCAACTTAAGCAGTCCATCGTGACATGAGTTCTTAAAAGTAGCTGCCGGCTGGAGCCCAGTAGCAGTGGAAGATTGGTACACGCATGTCAGATTCCAGCCTGGCATGGCATACTTTAATATATGTGGCATTATTTTCGCTGCTACGTCTGAACACAACTTGTCAACCCCTGTGGGTTTTCCACCACTGGGGAGCCTTAGCTTGAAGACATGCCACACAACTGACACATGCAGGTCAGTGTGGAGCTAGTTACACCCAATATGCACCTTCAAACATACAGTGACTTGGTAACAGAGACACATACAAACTTCCACCCAGTCACATAACCGGTACATACACCAGTCAAATAGTGGATAGCAGGGCTCTGTGGGTTGTAGCTCAGACTTTCATGCACAACCATGCACAACCATGCAATCACCAGACAACAAAATAATGGTTGCTAGGTGCATCCACCGTAACAGTACATTTACCTCCGGTGTTTGTGTCCATACATGTACGGCATACATAATAACGAGGCAAGGGATCTATCACGCAGGGCAAAGCTCGAAGATAGAATGGAGACCCTACCTACCCAAAGCTGAGGCCTTTATTACTATGAAGGATCTTAAACCAAGGTTCGAGAGCAGCCTTCCCTGCCGATTGATAAATCCTGCCAAGCCTGACATGGGTCGACTCAGCAAGGGGATCCTCGACAAGGTGGTCAGGAGCATCGTGGAACGTCAGAACATGAACCTCTGGAAGAACACCGCAGCTGTGCTCAAGTTGTTCCAGGCCATACCTTATAAGCATAGTCACTCCTTCATCTGCTTTGACGTTGTTGACTTTTATCCAAGCATCACGGAGCCTCTCCTCCGGTCTGCACTGGCATTTGCAGAGCAGTTTGCCGCACTGACCCAAAGTGACATCGACATCATCATGCACTCCCGTAGGTCATTTCTGTTCCAGGGCGGCCGTCCACGGATAAAGAACAACGCACAATGCAACTTCGACGTGGCGATGGGATCGTACGATGGAGCAGAGATATGTGAGCTCGCCGGTGCTTTCCTATTGAGCAAGCTGTCTGCGCACGTCGATGCGGCCGGAATTGGACTTTACAGAGACGACGGCCTTGCCGTGCTGAAAAACGCACCAGGGCCAGTTGCCGACCGCACGAGGAAGTCCATTATCGAAGTATTCAAGCAGTATGATCTAAAAATCACTATCGACGTTAATCTTTCGACAGTGAATTTACTAGACGTCACGCTCAGCCTCGACACTGGGAAATTCCAGCCGTATTGTAAACCTGGAGACGCACCTCTCTACATCACCGCCATGTCCAATCACCCACCATCCATACTACGGAACATCCCTGATATGATCGCTCGACGTGTCTCAAGCATATCTGCCGACGGCGGCGTATTCGCCGATGCTGCCCCTACATATCGCAATGCATTAGCCGCCAGCGATTTACCTGCCAACATCAAGTACATTGACCCAACGCCACCTGCTGCAATGAACGGCAGCAAGCAAAAAAGAAAAAAAGGAAACGGAATGTGGTGTGGTTTAACCCGCCATACTCCAAGAGTGTCCGGACCAACATCGCCGGCACCTTCCTGCGGCTGATCGACAAGCATTTTCCTAAGGGGTCCAAAATGAACAAAATCTTCAACAGCTTCAATGTGAAGGTGAGCTACTCCTGTTTACCGAATATGGCCCACATTATCAGTGGCCACAATAAGCGTTAATTGTGTGTCCAGGAACCGGACAAGCCGTGCAACTGCCGTCGCAAGGACCAGTGCCCTCTCAACGGAGCGTGCCAAGCAACCAGCATAGTTTACGCGGCAGAGGTGTCGAGTGATGGCCACAGCGATGGGCCCAAGACCTACATTGGCAGCACGGAGCCTCCATTCAAGCTTCGGTACGGGAATCACAAGACATACATCAAGCTCCCTGGATACAGCAAATCAACGGGGTTCTCAAAACATGTATGGGAATTGAAAGATAATGGCAAGATGCACGACATCAAGTGGCGAGTTGTTCAGAAGGCCAAGGCCTACAGCAACATAACGAAAAGATGCAGCCTGTGCCTCGAGGAGAAGGCGAGAATAATCACTGCCGACAGGAGATCGAGCCTCAACAGGCGGTCGGAGTTGATATCTAAATGTCGAAATCAAAATAAATTCATGCTATCAACACCAATAACATGATCTTCTCGGCACCCTGCTTCCAGGCAGTAGAGCCAGTTGACAGCCCTCTGCCGCCTTGTCACCATCATCATCTTTGCACCGCGCATCTCACTAGCTGTGACAGCTCGGTTGTACCGTTTTATCACCTTTATCACCTTTCTTAGTACCGCGATCCTTACTGGCTATGGCACTGAATCGGATATGAGTTGATAGCGCCCCTAGCGCTTTCTGTTATCCTTGTCCCACCATACTGGGCTTTAAATAGTGGGTTATTTTTCTTGATGTTCATATCACCTGATGAGTGCCTGAGATGGCATGAAACTTTAAAGGGGAAGTATACCCTAAAATCAAATTTTCACCAGTTGTAGTCTTCTGGGTGCTGAGACGAATGGTCTTGGTCCGAGGAAGCTGCGACGCTCCCTTCCTACTTGAATCCCAATCGAACTCGCGCACTTCCACCGAAACTGGGTGACTGCGCCCTACTAGATGGGGATTTGTATGCAAAATGTCACTAAAAGCGCCATTTCGTTCTTATAAAAGCACGGATGACCGCGATTGGCCCATATGTTGTAGTCTTTTGGACGCTGAGTCGACTGGTTTTGGTCCGAAAAGGCTGGGATGCAGCGTTCCTCCTTTATTCCCAATCGAACATGGTTGAACAAGCGGTCACGTGCTCCTGGGTGCCCAAATCACCTGGTCACCGCGCCAGCAGGCGACAACTTTCACACCAAGGTTCAACTCGAGTTCAACTCGAGTGACAGGACTGCACCCAAAAAAGGTCAAACAGGCTAGTAAGTTGTACCCTGCAGGCACGGTGACCAGGTGACTGGTGTACGCAGGAGCACGTGACCGCTTGTTCAACCATGTTCGATTGGGAATAAAGGAGGAGCGCTGCATCGCAGCCTTTTCGGACCAAAACCAGTCGACTCAGCGTCCAAAAGACTACAACATATGGGCCAATCGCGGTCATCCGTGCTTTTATAAGAACGAGATGGCGCTTTTAGTGACATTTTGCATACAAATCCCCATCTAGTAGGGCGCAGTCACCCAGTTTCGGTGGAAGTGCGCGAGTTCGATTGGGATTCAAGTAGGAAGGGAGCGTCTCAGCTTCCTCGGACCAAGACCATTCGACTCAGCACCCCGAAAACTACAACTGGTGAAAATTTGATTTTAGGGTATACTTCCCCTTTAAGTTGTGACTGATCAAGCCATCTGTTGTTCTGACTAGTGTGTACGGCATACGTACATGTACAAGACAGCTACCGGAAGCTGCTTTGCCAGGACAGCACCAGGTCAGGCCATGCTGGCCCCAAGTGCCTCTGCTTAAAAGGTGTCGGTCTATGCTTTAATTTAATACTTGTACAAGCATAACTCTGTTCTGGGAGTCATTAGATGGCCTTGACCCAAGAGTTGTTCCTCTACGGATGCACATGACTAAACAAAATGTGTCTCCGGGAGAATTGCACTTACTTGCTTCCTCCACCCTTGGCACCTGTGTCGTACGATCCGGAACGCCTTTGCTGCCAGACTACCAGCGCCACCATGGACACGATGATGACGCCAGCCATGACGCCAAAGATGATTCCGAGCACAGCTCCGCTGCTGAGCCCCTCACTACTGTCGGATTCAGTGGGAGATACGGTTGGCACGCCTAGGGAAATACAGTACCGCAAAGTGAAACAATTCAGTATAATAATACTCGGATGGAGAGCCAAGGATTAAAAATAAAAAAAGAGAGGACCATAAGTTTACAAGTTATCACATCAGTCAGTCTTGTGTTAATTGTCGCACATTTCGACTCAACAGTATCCTGCTTATAATAGTTAGTGTTGGCCAAAACGAATAACTTGTAAACTTATGGTCCTCCCTTTGAAAATAATAATAATACTCGGGATACTGTAAAACGGCTAAGAGGTACATTATAGAGAATGGACTCAGATGGAGAGCCAAGGATTAATTTATACAAAAGAGAAAGACCAAGGAACTACAAGTTACAAGTTGTTAGTGGACAGTATAGCGTAACTTGTAGTTCCTTGGTCTTTCTCTTTTGTATAAATTATAGAGAATGTTCACTATAAGTGTAAAGTTGACTGTGGAGGGTTCTGGGTTCTGGTACACAATAGGTACACAAAGGAGAGCGAGGGCTTAGTTGTTGTATCTCAGAGCGTCATGGTCACAAGGGTTAAACAACCAGTCATCAGACAACAGCTGTGGTGTGATGGCTGGTTGTTTTAGCCATGAAACTCCGAGCTACAACACATAAGGCCTTACTATCATTCTTGTTTCTCTTGTACATTTCGCTCTGCCCATCACAAGCATTGAACACTATAGCAGGTTAGTTAAGACACACTGCCTCTGTGAGCAGTCTGATAGAGTGTAGCAAGTATGTAACTCGCACAGTCTCCTGGCCCCAGCTCTGTTGCCCACGGTGTCCACCACTTCAGCTACGTTCCATGTTAAAAATAGCAATTACAAGCATTAGTATTTATTTAATAGTGGGACACACATTGAGCATTGCAGTAAAATTAGATCGCGAACGGGACCCGACCCGTCTTTGGTCGCGTTCAATTGGGAAGAAGGGCTGAACACTGCATTGCAACCTCCTCGGACCAAGACCATTTGACTCAGCGACCAGAAGACTACAGGTCCTGGGAGTTTCACGGTCATCGATGCTTCTATAAGAACAATGCGACGCTTTCAGTGACATTTTCAACATAAATCTCTATCTACTAGTGTTCAGTCACCTAGTTGGGGGGGGGGGGGGGGGCAGTGTGCACATTCGATTGGGAATAGGTATAGGACAAAGAGAGCGTCTCAGCTTCCTCGGACGAAGATCATTCGTCTCAGCACCCCGAATACCACAAGTAGCGAAATTTTGATGTCAGACCATACCAATCCCCTTAATAAAAGCATGCTGACCCTTGCAAATCACTAGCCCAAAATAACGCCCCTGCTAGCATGTTCTACTTACGGAGCGGAGCAGATGACAGAGCCGAGGCGCCGAAGGAGGAGAGCAAGGCTGCCCTGGCCTGGTTAACCTGAGTAACCACATTGGCAGCAGTCTCCAGTGAGCCATCCTGTCGGGTGATGTAGAAGGTGACGGTCAACCTACATGGTGTTCACGATCACACGGCAGAACACAGCAGAAATTCATGCGGCCATTTCACAAAACAGTAAAATCGTCGTAGCAAGCTATCGCAGTCCTACTGTAGCACATCTTGTTTTTGTAGAAGGCTCTGAGGGCTCACGGCGGCCTTTATCTAGTCCTGTTATGAAGGATTGAGTGTGTCAGCACAACTGTACTAGGTATGACATCTATAACTCTCCTGGAGGACAGTGGGTCTGAATCAGGGGCATGACCTTATATGGTGCATGATTTTTGTGTTTCGCAATACAGAGACCCTGCAGTATCAAACAGTCTCTGATTGATGGCAGGAATATAGCGTCTTGTAATATATCCACCTCGTGATATGCTGTCATCATCATAATTATGTATCGACTGACAGCTGTTGTCTGTTGATTTCCTCGTGCGTGAAACTCGCAATTAAAACGCACTCTTCATCCTCTTCTTCTTCTTCTTCTTCTTGTATATTTCTACTAATGTTATTACAGACCTGCACCAGAGTAGACGGCAAGCATGCCAAGAGTACCGTATGTTTGTCTCGTACCAGGGTTCTAGCCCTTCTGATATGCTGTCATCATAATTATGTATCGACTGACAACTGTTGTCTGTTGATTGCCTCGTGCGTAAAACTCGCAATTACAACGCACTCTTCATCCTCTTCTTCTTCTTCTTCTTCTTCTTCTTCTTCTTTACAGCGCAGGCTCTTGCGGAGGAATTGTCGCCAAGCAGCGCTGAACTCAAGCTATGTCCTATGGCTAAGGCGAAGGGAGCGAACATGGCGCGACTGGCCGTTGTATTAAAACTGTTTGGTGAACCTGTTGTAGAGCACTTGGTGGGCGATCGGCCACCCAGCGAGGATAGTTGGACGTCCTTAAAATCAAGATTTGAACTCGCCATTCCGGCCTCTAAAGGGCCGGGGGTGGACGATCGCCAACCTTGCCAACCTCTCGTAATCACTTGTTCTTGTCGAATCGTTATTTTCATAGCCTTCTCGACAATTACCATACATCACAACGCAACTACCTGTACATGACACACCATACCATACGGACACAACCACACCCCAACTGTACTGGGGGCCTATCTCTTCGAATTGCATTATATGAGTTTCTTTTTCCTTTTTTCTTTACCCGTTACTGTCTAAAAAGCAGTCGAAACGGTTTTTATCCACCATTTGATGGTGAGCATTTCCCTTCACATTCTGCCTCATTAACTGGCCGACGCACATCTGTCAGCCAGAAAAGCTGGCGCACATCTGCCAGCTAGATACATATTCGACGGACGCCCAACTGTCGGTCGAAGTCGACGCACATCAGTCGCCTACACTGGCGCTCATCTGCCAGTGTTACTATCGATGCCTCTCGGCATCTCCTCGTAGCAGTTTTGCTACACATCCGGTCTAGCGGGCTGATACCCCTCTAGACTGTATTTTCTCATCACAAGTACTTTCAGCAGAGATGCTGGCCGGAGGGGGCGAAAGCGGCCGGAGGATGACCCCTCACTGGGCTGCACACCAAGCCCAGAACCTGTAACTGTTTCAACAACCCGGGAGGAGTGTGAGTCTGGTAATGACGCGTCACGGCCGATACCCGCTCACACTTCCCCTAGCTCGCAGCCAGCTGCAGGGGTGTGCGATAGGTGCGGAAGCACCATTCGCCACCGATTCAATTTAAGCCGTCACTATCAGACGAAGAAATGTTTAGCTGCATGGAAAGGGGCTGCGCCTGCAGCACAGCACAAGCACACGAAAGCAAAAGCATGTACGCGTACTTCGAGTACAACCAACACAAAGCCATGTCTACATTGTGCAAAACCTATATCTAGTTCAAACATGGCTCGACATCTGAAATCTTGCCGGGCTTTTCAGGCCAAGGTCGTCGATGAACCGCTCACTCCAACCAGGAGTAGTAAGACGGTCGTTGCCACTGCAATCAGCCCGCAATCCCAGCACAGTGCTGATGGCGACGAAGAAGAGAAGTTGGAGCATGGCTCCCAGAATGTGCTAGACCACAAAGCCCAGAGCAGGACAGTAGCAAGCTCAATCTTCCCAAGTCAAGCCCGGCCTGGGAAAAAACAAACACACAACTAGAACAACATATCACACGCCTGTTTCCATTGTCAAAAATACGAAAAAACGATCCAGACGATTCACTTGATCAGATTACCTCGTTCCTCAGATTCTTCTTCCTCGACCACACCATCTCAGAACCCACCCCAGAGCGAAGGTCGAAGAAGCCATGTCAGTCCAAATGCCTAACTGAGCTCTACATCAAACGCCGTGCACTGCGTAAACAATATCGAAGGAGAGATAGGCTTGCCGTCCATGAGGTTGAGACCATCAGATCAGACTACAACCGTGTGCAAAAAGACATCAAGAAACTGAGAAAGATCATCCAAATACAAAAGCGAGACCGTGAAGCGCAGAAACAGCGGACGGCCTTTCTTAAGGACCCTTACGGGTTTGCAAAACGCATGTCCCAAAGCAGATCACGTGTAACACCAACTTTCTCGGAACAGGCCTGCTTTGAGTATTTCTCCAAACTTTATGAAGATCCCTCTCGTGAGCAAATTTTCTCGGATCCAGATTTCTGTCCAGCTACGAGTAAACCGTCCACACCACTATCTGATAACAGCCCCAGTTGGAAAGCCTTCCAGAACACTCTGAAGAAATGTAGAAACAAATCTGCAGCCGGTCCAAACGGTATTCCATACATAGTGTGGAAAAAGTGCAAATGTCTGCACGGCATTCTTTTCAATATCTTCGAGAAAGTCTGGAAGACAGGATCCATTCCGCTGTCTTGGCAGTGCGCCTCAGTAACGCTTCTCGCAAAAAGTGACAATGACTCTGACCCGGCGAAATTTCGCCCAATTGCCCTATCCAACTGTGACGGCAAGATTTTCTTCGCCATGTTGTCAAAAGTTCTGACTCGCCACATGCTGACGAATGGGTATTTTGACGGCATGACCCAGAAAGGCTTCTTGCCGGGTATGTCCGGTTGTATTGAACACGCCACTCTTTGTCACGAGGCCATGAAAGACGCCAAACGCCACAAGCGTTCGATTGCCATGGTATGGATCGATTTGAAGAACGCCTTTGGCTCAGTAAAACACAATCTGATCCAGAGGGCACTGCAACGCTACCACATCCCGCTGAAAATCAGGATATGAGCGTCTGACAGCATTCATTAAAAGACCACTCACTCAGACCTTCCGGTACAGCATCGGCGTATTTCAAGGTTGCCCACTTTCCCCTATTCTCTTCAACATCTGTTTCCAAATTCTACTTGATTCTCTTCAGACCAAACCGATCCAAGCCCTTTCGTACAGTTTCCGTGACACAACTGTCACTGCTTCGAACACTGGATTCGCCGACGATTTAGCAGTCTTCAGCAATCGAACTCATGGTGCGCAGAAGAAGTTAGATCTGGTTGATAGTTTCCTTGCCTGGTCAAAAATGCAGGCGGCCCCTCACAAATGCAGGTCGTACGCAGCCAAATTGACCAACAACAAATACACCTGCTTTGACCCCGCACTCAGAATATCGGAAACTCCAATACCAGCTCTAAACGGCCAACAATTCAAGTTTCTAGGCAGGATGCTAACAGATACAGTAGGTGAGATAACGCAACGCGAAGACCTCATAAACTCCACAAGATGCCTACTAAAGACAGTTGCCGAGACCAGACTGTACGGACACCAGAAGTTGTGGCTCTACCAGCATCAAATCATCCCCAAAATAGCATGGCAGCTCGAGATACTTGATCTCAGCCACAGTTTCGCCAAACTCCTACACAGAATTTGCCTTCCATTCTTAAAGAAATGGGCAGGCTTGCCCAGACCCGCAGCACCAGCAATACTCTTCATCGGCGCTCGGGAGCGCTTCGGCCTACGTTTAACGTACATCCCTACGCTATGGAAGCAACGACAGGTCATTAGATGGAATATCATCAAGAACAGCAGCGACAAGAACATGGCAAACCTGTACCAACATCACAGCAAACAACAGTATCTGCTCACAAGACAATACTCCGCAATAAAAGAAATGGAATGTGCCGAGGCAGAGATCTCTGAAGCTAGTCCAACTAACCTCCAGGGCAGGACTCGGCTTTAGGCATGACAAACAAGAGAAAATCAAACCTAGAAAACAAATACTCAATACCATTCATGAAGGTGACTGCCAAGACCAGCTATCCCACCTCAAAAGCCTGCAAATGCAAGGCAGCTGGTTAAAGTGGAGAGACACGATGTTTGAAGACCTCACTTGGAAAAAACTGTTGTACGAAGGCTACGGGAGGACTTTCTCCTTTCAACTAAACTGTGTATTAAACACACTACCAACAGTTGACAATCTGAGGAGGTGGGGTAACTCTGTGGTCGAACAACAATGCCCTCTATGCAACAGGCAAGCTACGCTCCGTCACATATTATCAGCATGTCCAACAGCCCTCCACCAGGGCAGATATACCTGGCGCCACGACAACGTACTGAAATGCATAGTAAAACTAGTAAACGAAACCATCCAAACTTATCAAAAGGCCACGGCATCAGCAGAAACGCAGAGTAAACAGAAGAGAATTGATTACATAACTTTCTGCAAGGCAGGAGAGAATCTCCCCAAACAGCCCCCCCCTCCCAACGCAAACGGCTAAATGACCAATTCGTAACTAGCTCAGCAGACTGGCAGGTCCTGGTGGACATGAAGGATGAGAAACTTGTTTTCCCCCACTTCATAGCACCTACAACCTGTCGTCCAGACATAGTGCTCTTCTCCAAAGAATTGAGAAGAGTTCTGTGGCTGGAACTCACGGTATGTAGTGAAGATCGCTTTGCACAATCGCGCGAAATCAAAATCGAACGCTATCGTCACCTTCATAGCGCGTGTGTAAGGAATGGCTGGGATACGGAAAGTCACACAGCAGAGGTGGGAGCGAGAGGCGCCATATCCACCAGCTTGGATTCCTTCGCGAGATCCTTGCGCTGCACT